AAAACAGCACGCGCGCGTGGCTTGCACGCCCCGGACGCGCGCGCGTGCACAGCACGCGCGCGTGGCTTGCACGCCCCGGACGCCAGCGCGTGCACAGCACGCGCGCCAGAAAAAAAAAAAAAAAAAAAAAGAGGAAGGAGCCGCGCGCGTGCGCAGTACGCGCGCGTGGCGAACACGCGCCAGGCACCCCGCGTGCACTGCACGCGCCAGAAGCAAAAAAAAAAAAAAAATTATATCACACGCGCGCGCCTCCCAAGGTCACCTTGGAGCGCGCGCTCCCACCTAATTGGGCAAAACTTTTGCTACTCTCCACCAAATTGCGCGTAGATTTCACCTCACTTCACCAAATCGCGAGAGAATTTCAACGCGCTCCACCAAATTGCGCGAGCTCTTTAACGCACCTACCAAATTGCGTTCGCTATCAAATGGAAAATAAATAAATAAATTATTTCTCCACGCCATGCCAACGATTAAAGAAACACTACAACACCGATCTACTCTCAACACGATCCGGAACCCTTTTCGACGTGGCTCCCACATCGTCTCGAGAGTGGGGGGCTTGCGAGACAACTCCCACGAGGAGCCAACTCGCTCAATACTACCACCCGTTGCGAGGTAACTCCCACGAGGAGCCAACTCCCTCGGGTCTCAACACCAAAGCGAGACAACTCCCACGAGGAGCAAACTCGCTCTGTCCTACATCCCGCGGTGAGACAACTCCCATGAGGAGCAAACTCACTCGGTCCTACAACCAGCAGTGAGACAACTCCCATGAGGAGCAAACTCGCTATTTCTACATCCCACGAGGAGACCATTCGCTCCGTCCTATAGCCCGATGGGGACAACTCCCACGAGGAGCTAACCCCCTCTAGTCTAAAAACTACAGCGAGATAACCCCCACGAGGAGTCCACTCGCTCAATCCTACAACCCGTTGCGAGACAACTCCCACGAGGAGCCAACTCCTTCGGATCTCAACACCACAGCGAGACAACTCCCACGAGGAGACCACTCGCCCCGTCCTATAACCCGTTGCGAGGCAACTCCCACGAGGAGCCAACTCCCTCGGGTCTACGAAGCCACATCGAGACAACTCCCACGAGGAGCCAACTCGCTCGACACTACAAATTCGTTGCAAGACAACTCCTACGTACAACCACCTCGCTCGATAATAAGACTCGCTGCGAAACAACTCCCACGAGGAGACAACTCGCTCAGAGCAACCTCAGTCCGCACGCTCCTCAAACGCGCGTCATCCAATGCTCCTACAACTTCGCTGCAAGACAACTCTCTTGAAGAGACAACTCGCTCGCAATGCACTACATAATCGCAAGCTCAAGTTAGCACGATTACAACCCTATAAACACTTAGAGATATTATGAGAATCTATATAGCCTGGCCAGCTTGATTACTCAAAATTTATCTACTTGTTTTCGATGGGTCCTTCATTAAAACGTGGCCACGGTCCAAACATACTTACGACCCACGAGGTCTAACAAGGGGCACGATCCCCATAAAAAAAATCTTGAGAGCCTGATCCCCTCCTCAAGTACATCACGCACAAGGCTATATGTAAACAAATACAAGCAACGCGTCAAAACATTGACAATGTCGATAAATAACAACTCCCACGAGGAGAATACTAGCTCCGTGCTACTACATTTTCACGAGACAACTCCCACGAGGAGATAACTCGATCAACTCTATTACCCCACGACGAGACAACTCCCACGAGGAGATTACTTGATCCGTGCTACCACATTATCGCGAAACAACTCCCACGAGGAGATAACTCGATCAACTATATTACCCCGCGACGAGACAACTCCCACGAGGAGACAATTCGCTACTACATCGTCGCGGGACAACACCGACGACTCAAATAACTTACATAGCGACAACTTGGTCGCGCTACGCGCCAACGCGCATTCACGCCCCTCCGACACACGCTCCAATTCATTTTCGCACACCATCAGGCCATATGCCAAAGAACGAACACTACAATTTTCACTCTCGACACGATTGAGAACCCATTTCAACATGGCCCCTACATCGACTCGAGAGTGGGGGGCTTAATGATATGCCTAATTGGCCCAACCCAATGGGCCTA